TTAAAAAATACAACACGAAAATTTTTCTTAATTTTGCATTCTTTTGATACATTAACAGCTTTGCCCAACTTTCTAAACACTTGATATTCATAATTTGGTTAAAAAATATTAGCAATGTGCATGTATATTATAACACCATGGCTGGAGAAAAGTTCTAATTAAAATGTAAGGGCTTTTCTAATGGTACAAAATAACAGTAACATATAACTCAACGAGTGAAAGAAAAAGGTGCTTCAGTAAAATGTGATTTTTGAGTTTCATGAAGTAACACTCTTTTATATTTAACAGTATCCTCCCTTTGATAACATAAGAAACAATATGAGCAGAGAAATAATATTTTATGCTATCACTTTATTACTGGATAGAAGGTTACTAATTTTAATTTACATCATTTATAAATAAAGTGATAATAAATAGCTGTAATTATTATCAATGAAATATGATTATAAACATTAAAATATTTTAAGCAGGTTTTAAAGAAAAACTACAAGCGAGTTTTAAGATAGTAATAAAATTAATAGTCTTTTGCACTTTTTAAAAAACAAACAATTATTCAGTTTGTTAAAAATCTATATCTTGTATTTAAGTATTTATCGACTCTTTCTGGTAGTCATGGATAACTTGCATTTGAGGTATACACTACTATCTAAATAAATAAACTCGGCTGATCCGCAATTTCTGTATAATACAACATATTGCCCAGTACAGCTGATCTGATCTCATTCGCCTAATGCGCTACCTTTGAAAGTTTATTAGCAAAAACTAAATTTAATGACTGCACATGACATTACATTACCATACACATTTCCGCATTTCTTTGTTAAAATAGGGACATTATTAAATGTTTCTTAACTAACGAATTAAATTCTGAAAACGTAGGAATTTTAACAAATAAATTACTAAATACATTTTTTAAATTGGTTAAAATTGTTGATGTGTCTATTAAATTTTGACAAGAAAATAAGTGAAGATGACAACTTTATCAGGAGTTTTACAATGTTATAAAACTACTTAATGTCCTCCAACTCCAAATCAATACAATGTTGTGAGTATTACAAATACAAAATGGAAATTTTTTAAAAAATATTGCTTTTTAAAAACTAATATATTCTAATTTTCTACAATTTAAAGATAAATAGTGTCATTTATTAAAATGGGGGGGGGTGGAAAAGCATCATTAAAGATTGACAATTTTGATACCAGATAAAGTGTTAAACAGATATTAAGTTTAAAATTTGAAACAAAATTGATTATGTGCAACAACTAAGGAACATGAGACTGGAGAAAGTATACTTAAATATTTATTAACATAGTATAAAAGCAATTAACAATTAACCAATGAATAATAACTTGAATTTCTACAGAATATACACATTAATAATATATGAATTTTGCCTTTCGAAAAATAAAAAATTTTGTAAAAATTTCATAACGTAAGAAAAACTGATATGGAATGTAAAAGACATATGCTTAAAATATAAAAACAAGTATTTCACATAAACATGTATAATATAAGAAATATAATCAATATGTGTGCAAGGATTCAAAAATATTTTTGTAATAATATATATTGGCTAATAATTGCAAAAATTACATCACTATATGTGTTAAATACCTTACAAACAACTGATAGGTATCCAATAAATAATATTTTTATTCCAAAAAACAGTATTAATAATCTAAGAGTTTTTTAGTGTTTAAAAAATAAGAATCTTAATCAGACTTAGCAAGACATTAAATGGAAGAAATAGCAGTGTAAAGTATATATGCTTAAAAATATGAAAGCAAACATTCCACACTAATGGGAAAATGAAATCAAAAAATGCATATAAAATATAGCAAGAATAATCTATCAATTACTGCCATATTACATGAATATAAACTCAGCAAACACAGCACTTGAAATTTTTACAATAGAAACTTTCAATATAATTAAATCAAAAACTGCTCGAACTGATAATAATAAGAATCACATTTTACTTGTATAAGTAATTAAAAACTACATACATATAAAAATAAAAAGTAGATCTTCATTTAACATTGACTAGGAACATTAATTTCCAATAGCGATCTTGCTTGAATTATATAACTATTGATGCCATAAGAGAAAAACTAATTTATTCAAATTTTGTTCAGAAAAACTGTCTATTTCAAAGAATATTTTCCAATATGTGAATATATTAGTTTCTTTCCTGTCATAATACAGTCTCTTCTTTTAACCTCTTACTGTTCTTTAGTCTCTTCTTTTAACAATGTTTTTTGTTCCTATTTTTAATTTATTTGTATTTAACCATCTGCACATACAAGTGAGAATTAATGTTGACATTACAAGCTCGATTAACATATAATTATTCTAATTCATGATTAAATAAGACTGCCAATGGGAAGGCAATTTCATAAGAGTCCAATAAAAATACAATTTTTTGTTATTTCTGGCCTGTTTCTGTCTTTAAAACTGATTGAAGTAAAGAACATAGGATTACAAGATAAAATCTATTTAAGGTGAATAAATGATATTTTTAAACAATATAATCATGATTTATCAGAATTTCTAATCTGAAATTGGATCTTCCATTCAAAATTCTCATTACAGGCATTTTTCCTTTTTCCTTTTTTTTTTTTTTTTTCAAATCTTGATAAAGTTTGACAATATTATGCAGTTATGTTGTATCTTTGTTGGATCATAATTTCCCTTTCTAATACTCTCCATTTTGCTTATGCATATTAATATTAAGAATTTCATATTGCATTGCAATTCAAATCTTTAATAGATATGAATACACAAGAAAAAAGGAAGTAATTATTATAAAAATAAACATATAAAAGAGAAGCAAAGAAAAATTATAACAGTAAAATGGCTACGGCATTACATTAGATAAACTCAATTCAAAACACAAGGTTAATGAATTTATACAAAGATTTATATTTTTACCTGTTAGCATCAGTAGTCTCACAGGTAAAAAGTGAAGGGAAATATTTGACATCTGCTTTATTAGTTATTTGCTCTGTTATTAAGTATACTAGCGAAAAAAATTAATTTTTTCCCCAAAATTAATAAAAAATGTAAGAAAATTTAAGCACAGCAATATTTTATAGTATTAATAAACACAATGATTTACTTATTTGTGATTTTTATACTTTTGCGGTACACAATTCGGAATATTCCAACTTTCTTCAGTATCATCCCTGAACATTCTTGGAATATTTACAAATTATTTAAAATACTTCAGATATATTTTATGGCAAGAAATATTTTACAAGTTTCAGGGTATATTTGTAGAGTGTTCCAACCATATTACAATTTAGAACATTCTTCTCATCTACCTGGAATATTCCTGAAACATTCCATGCTTAAATTCATGGATATATTCTTCTGTAATGCAAAATGTCTTATAATCTTAAAAAGCATGGAAGGTATTGAAAAAGAGTGGTTTGTGATGGTTTCTTGTATACCAGCCTAAAGAAAATTTTTAGCAACAAAAGAATCCATCTGAATTCCTATCTGTAAAAAATTATATTGACAAAATGGGAAGCAAATGACAAAACTGTCATCAGATGAACGTCTGAGAAATAGACAAACAATACTGTGAAAAAGAAAGTTAACATTCTTGCAGATGGGCTGACAAAAATCATGGAGAAAGTAGTTCCAATCAAGGGTGGTGAAGAATAAAAATTAGAGTGAAAACAATTTTTCTAACAAAACATCAAGAACTAAGAATTTCACAAATTTTCTTCGAGAAAAGAAAACTAGTACAAACCGATGGCCCCTAAAACATTATTTTGAAACAATGATTGTCAATATGAAAAACTGGAACTTCAGGCAGGCCTAACAAATACTACTGAATTCAACAGTGATAAAGAAATAATATGTGAGATTCTTAAAGGTCAAAAAAACATTTTGACTGTTTTCAGAAAGTAACATATATAAATTAATTATATGCTTCTTAAAAACCAGCAATAATCATTTGAGGATAACCCATCTTTTAAATACTTAAGGAACACAAAGATAATTTGTTTTCCTTCAAATTGTTGTATTGATCCAAATATATTTTAATTACATTAATAAAAATATTTTGCTTAATATTAGTATTCAAAGTAAATACAAAATATTCAAACTAAATGAAATATAAAAAAATTGCAAGATTAAACTAAACTTGAATTTTGAAAAATTTGTGGGATTATTAATCAAAATTCCTGGAAAAAATTAACCATTGTCTGAAATATATTTTTAATGCTGATGAAAAATATCTCTTTTTTGAATGAAAGAGGGAAAGCAGAATGCTCTCAAGAATTTAAGAATTTGATAACTTACTACTTAATTTTACTTCAGACTTAGGCTCACATTAATTGACTCAAAAACATTTGAAACAAAACAAATAAAAGATTAAAAGAATCTAGAAATCTGTCACACATTATTGCATTCATAAAATAAGCAGTTAAAATCTCAAAGACCAATTAAGATTCAATTTAATTTCGAATTGAGTGCCAATACAATGTTCCAGTTTTCCCTACATGTATTTTAATCTGTGGTTAATAATAATACATCTCTTGTTTTGAAGAAGTTTTAATCTCTTGTTTAAATATGAATATTCATGAAGAAAGCCCAAGCAATAAAACATTTTTAGAAAAGAAAAAATACCAGCAGCCAAAAGAAAATAAAACAAATGCCACTTCTCAGAAATTTATCATGACTGTTTAAAGCATTCGCTATTTTGAAAATATTGCACTGAATTCCAATGATTTAACTTTAAATACAAATTTCAGAAAGAAAGAAAGAAAGAAAGAAAGAAAAAATGTAGTCATCAGGGGGAGGGGGAAACTGTAGTCAAAGCTACTGACTACAGGTTTTATTGCAATACATAGTCCTTAACATTAATAAGGGAAAAAATAAGTATACAGAATGCATTCCACAAAGGTGTGTGTGTGTGTGTGTGTGGGAGAATATTATATATGCTTTTTTCATATTAACAAATATACTTAACTGAAAATCACAAGGCAGCTTCATGATGAAAAATTTCCTTTATTTACCATTTCTAAAATAACTTTTACATACTATTACATAAATAAGACAAGCATTCATGATTGTAAAAAATTATGTTCCATACTAATTGGCTGCTATTTATTTATGTAAAGTAACTGTGTAGAAGACTTTCTGTGAATCTGCTTACAAGAGTAGTGACGTGACAACTTAATACATTGGTATTTGTATTGATAATTAGTTTATCAATTGATTAGCAATTAGAAGGATTAGCGGAAATGCTTCATAACAAAAGGACACATTTTATCTGACATTCTCTCTATCAGATATAAAATGCTTTAATTCTGATATCTTAACAATTGATCATAAAACCTTCCCACACGATGATGCATTGACAAATGGAATATAATTTAGCATTTAAAAAATATCTTACATAAAATACTTAGATTTTCATTTTGAATGTTTCTAAATGTTGTTTGTCAAAAATGTGAAATGTATACTTCATCAGAAAAATCTTTGAGATATACTGGAAGGATGGTGAAACAAAATCTTGCAATAAAAATTAGAAAAATTTAGCATACACTTTTTTATTTCTTTCCATAGTATTTATGCATATCATGTACAACAGACATGTACAGACACAACACACATACACACCATATTTGAATTCTATCACATACACATATAACAGAATACATAAACTGGACGGATATGAAATAGGTATAATGCAATACATATGACAATAACTAAAATTCAGCTCACATTCAAATACAAAGACAGATTTTTGACATAAAAACAAGACATAAAAAGTAATAAAAATAAGGCCAAAAAATATGTAAAAAATATATAAAAACTAGAGATGGACAGCTGCAGTAAATGAAATTTGTCTTTGGTTATTGGCCTCAACAAAGACACTTATAATGTATAATAGTTTTACACTGCAGCAAACGTTGAGCCATGAGGCGTAGAAGCTCGTGACTGAACACCTCCTAGCATATTCACAGAATAATGGGATAAACTGTGAGATGTTGTATTCAGACTGCTCATAGTTCCCATCTATATTCAATAATAAAAATACCAGAATGTACAGTCATTTAAACATAATTAAAAAAAATTACAATAAAAATGTAAACTTTCAAAAATGTCACAATTTTTACAACATATTGTTACAAACTTTGTACATAGATGATTTTAGTGCAGTTATATATGAAATTGTTGTATTTTTCTGTGCCATGCAATGTGAAACAAATTTTAAGAGAAAGCTATATCGGAAAAGTAAGAATACAGGGGCAAATGTATTTAACATTGAGTAAAGGGTTATCTCGGTAATTTGGCAAGATATCCCCAAGCTGACAACGGTTTTGGTGATTCATTTTTCCCCAATGTCACCTAATTTGGCAACATTTTCGTATGGTCCCTGTATCACCGTAATATGTATAAAAATTGAATAAATGTATTTGACCGCTATGTTAACTATAACCGTAATTCCACCCTTGCATTGTTTTCTAGTAATTTCGGGAAGCTAAAAGTACTAGAAATATCTCAGCGGTTGGTTGGAAACTATTTAAAGAAGAAGAGACAGTACCTCCTCTCGGTTGTTTAGTTATTGTTGTTTGAATCGTTATTTCCATGTAAATTGAGATATATCCGAGTTAGCTTTCCCTTTAGATATGCTTTCTATTACATTGTGTTTAGTGTTTTTCGTAGTTTGAAGCATAACTACTGATTGTACTGTGTGATACGGTGACATCTGTATGATTATTTCTGCTGAAAATTCCAGAACTTTGAAGTGTTTATTTTGAGAAAATAAATTTTTATTAACCTTTGGACAGGTGTGCATTCAATCTATTATGAACCCATAAGCATGCAACAATTTTGGTGTCAGAAATGGGATTGAATGCCAGTGACAAGAGTGATGGAGAAACAACTAAGCTAGTGACAGCCTTTACTGCATTCCAAGAAAAGATGGAAGGGGCAGTCAAAGACATCAAACCTGGTCAAGAATCTGTTAAAGGAGAGATGAATGTTGTTTAAGAATCTGTTAAAAAGAGATGAAGGGTGTTCAAGAAAAGATTGAAGCAGCTCAAGAAAAAATGAAGAGGAATTACCTGCATAACAGAAAACAAATTCGAGGCTATGGAAGCCAGCATACACATGGCTGAAAATAGGGTTGGAGAAATTGAAGAAAGAGTTTCTTCTGGCAAAGAAGCATCAAAGAGAGAGTTTCTGCCATCACCAAAGAAGCTAACACCTTAAAGAAGTGCTTAGCGACAGCATGATGCGATTCTGAAGACTTTAAATTTTTAACCATGCCTGCTCGTCTATCTCTGAAACTATCCACATATGATGGAAAGACCTGGTAAGTATCTAAGACACAATATTTTATAGTGCAGAAGCAAACAGATGGGCTTCCCAAGCTATACACTATCATCTTGCGCTTCTTTGACAGCAGACACACCCTTTCCACCTTTCCTGAAAACCAAAGGCTAGACTTTGAAGCTCTAACCGGCACTCTGGGGAGAAAAGTTTAAAAGACTACAGCAGGCTTCAATTAAAATGCCATCAACAGAAGACCACAGATGCACTCTAGGAGCTCATAACAGATGCTGAAAGGCTTTCATCTTCATTTCATAATTCCCTTAGAAGGCAGCAATGTTTCGAATTACGTACACAGATATGTGCTGAAATTGAATAAATGTAATTGATCACTATGTTAATTGCAACCATAATTCCACTCTTGTATTGCTTTTCCAGTAATTTTGAGAACTAGAAAGAAATATCTCGGTAGCAGGTTGAAAATTAAGGCCGAAGAGAGAGCATCTGCTCTTTGTTACTTACTTACTGTTGTGCGAGTCGCTAGTTTTGCATCAATTGAGATAAATCTGAGTTAGCTTTCTATTTAGATGCGCTTTGCACTGTGTTGTGTTTAATGTTTTTAGTAGTTTGAAGTATAACTAGTGATTATACTGTGTGATACTGTGACACCTATACGACTATTTTTGTGGAAAATTCCAGAACTTAGAAGAGGTTATTTTGATATAATATGCCTTTTTTTCATTAAACTATCACCGGACCTGTTCACATTAGATGTATTATGAACTCGTATGCATGCACCAATGTTACATGTACGCATGGCAAAACCTTTGTCAGGTTGGTGATATTGCTCCAAATTACCGACACCATTTACTCAATGTTAAATACACTTGCCCTTGGATTCTTACATAGTTTTCCCTTAAATATTTGTTTCACACTATGTTACATAGAAAAATACAACAATTTCACATATAACTGCACTAAAATCATTTAGCTATGTACAAAATTTGTAATAATATTATTTCTCAACCATCTGCCATAAAATACCAGTATTAGCAAAACTACAAACTTCACAATTTTCTTGTTTCCGGACAGGATAATTAATCTTTATATTCAATAACCTTAACTTATCTTCACATAAGTACACTTATCCTTTAAAGAAGGGCCATTTCAAGTTTACTACAAAAAATCGTATATTGTATGAAACAGTCACAACACTTTTTATAACTCAATTGCATCACAAGGCTAGAAGAATTGACAATTGTTTTAGAAATCTCCTTGTGATTACTATTTAGCATCAAAAAGTTTTCAGAATGGCCAATATAGCAGAATCAGGTACAAAAATGAGAGATGCTCAATGATCATAAATCAAGACTGAGACTTGACGTGGGAAAAATTCAAGTGTCATTCTATATTGTACAATTAAACCACAGCCTGATTTCATTTCATGTGAAAGAACATAGACTTTTTATCTTTGAAAGAATGAACTGATTAGTATCCAATACATCAGACAGCCAAAAAATGTAGTTCAGTCAAATACCGAAAATCCGCCGACCTGAAATCCGTGTTGCCTCTCAAAATATAAACATTTAGTTTATAAGTTCCAGAAACCGCAACATTGAGTATGAAATATCGAAGAAAAAATACTTACCAAATAATGATATCATAATTACCGAATAATAATGAGTCATAACGGAAATACCAAATTATTGACATAAAAAAAGCTTTAAAAAAATTAAGATAAAAGTTTTTTTTTTCCCCTCTAATCTGCATCGAGGTAAAAAAGCAGACGATTCACTCAACTCTTCGTTCAAGTTCCCTATTCACGTTTTATTTTCTGAGCTTTGTTATTTTATGAGATTGTTTAGTGCTGCCTTTTTTTTTTTTTTTTTTTTTTAAATCTGGAGATTTTGTGGATAAATTAAGAATATTTTAAATTTCAGCCTTTTTTAATACAATGACAGATAAGAAATGCACTCATGATTTTACTGCTTGCAACATTGAAAAACGTAAACACGTTGCATTGATGGTAACGCAAAAAGTTCAAATTCTGCAAAAGATGGAGGCAGGTGCTACTCCTCGATTTATAGCAGAACGGTATGGAATTGCGACACAATTGTATATGATATATGGAAAAATAAAGAAAGGCTGTTGAAATTTTACAGCAACAGTGATTCTAACACCGGAATTCGAAACCAGAAATTTTTGCATGAGGCGAAATTGGCAAACCTTGATGCTGTGTACATATAATACTATGAATAATGTAATCAGTTTATATATGTAATAATAATTTAATGCATATAATACATTATTGTAATAATGTATATAATAATTTAATTAAATGTATCTAATACACCTTATTTATTTTGCATTTTTAGTCCAAATATTATGCTTTATCTTTTCTGTACTGAAATCCACACAACCTCTGGTCCCAAGTTTTGCGGATTTCTGGACTTCAACTGTATTATGAGAAAACGCACAATATTAATTGGAATTATAGAATTTTGAAAACATTTGGATGTCACGGATCAGAAACAGAAAGATTTCAAAGAATGAAGACAGTAATGACTATAATGCATAAGCATTTTCAAAATTAATGCAAACTTTATTATCAAATAAAACCTTTTTTAACAGTATATTTCAACACGTATCTAATATTAGAATGTATGAGGGGCAGATTGATAGCTTATCAATAATTTAACACAAGGTTCCATTAAGAAAAAGTGATTTTATTCAATATTAATTTCTTTTCTAATCATCCTTTTCCCCCTTTTTTTATATCACAATTTAGGCTAATCTTTTAAAATTTTCTTTTGGATCACCAGGAACGAGCACCTCTCAAATTTCATTGCAATGTATAAAACTCAACACTCACACTACTAATAAAAATAAATAAATAAATAAATAATAAATTTTTAAAAAAATTCTGTTTTACCTTTAGTCTGGCCATATCTTCAAGCCTAGTTATATCTGTTAACTCCTGGAAATTTGAGTAAACAAACAAGGATAAAAAATACCTGCAAAATGTAAGCAAAATATGAAACACTAGAGAATTATAATTAATTAATACTTGTAAAATTTAAATAAAACAAAAAATAAAAACATTAAACAAACAAAACAATAAAACCATAATGTATAAATTCAAGTTTTATTAGTCACCCACTTAAAACAGAGATGCAAATGGCTCAGCAATCTTAATTACCTTCAGGATTTATCTTTACATGCAAATTTATAAATATAATAGTAATAAAATACTTTTCTAATATTTGAAATTTGCATAAAAAAAGATTTGTTCAAACAAATGATCTAAATGGAAAACATGAGCATGCCATTTTCTTCACATTTCTTGCAAACCAGCAAACGAGCTGTAAAAGTTACTAAACATTGGTACTTCAACCAGTATTTGAATCTGGGCAAATTGATTGATGGGATGGAAAATTCCATAGTTTTGTAGAATGTAGTTACGAGGCAGTTTTCCTTACACTGTCCTCCAAGAAGGCATTCTTCCCCAGATAGGCAGGATAATCTATAAACTGCTTTTCTTAATTAATAAACGTACAAAAATATTTACATTTCCCCTTTCATATAATACTGAAACCAGAAATATTAATATATTAAACTTAATAAAAAGTTTTGTGAGATTAAATCAAGATGTATCAGTAGGATTCAACAGATTTTTGATATACCTAATATGTACCTAATTATGTATCGCATAGATCACATACAAATTAAAAACTACACCAGTTATTTAAAAAGATGTTGGCTTTTGATAGACAAATTTAAACTGCATGCCAAAATAAATATTTAACAATAGAAAGAAACCCAACACAAACAGCACATTGATTGTAGTTCAGTATAAATAATTTTGTTAAATGTACATACTGATGACCTCTAAAACTGGTTGCTAAGCATCTTAATTTATGTTTTGGATGCTACTGAAATCCAAATTCGGTAAAAATGCTGTCTTAGAATATTTAAAATAATCATCTAAGAAGAAACTAGATTTATAAGAAAAATTTTTATGCATCTACAAAGCTTTAATGTAAAAAACAAAATTAAATTCACAGTGCATTCAGTTAACTACTTTTAAACCTCTTCATTTTTAACAAGTCTTTTTTTTTTCTTTTAAATTTTACTTAGACATATGGAATCTCTAAGAGCACTGTAACTTAGAAACAGTACAAAATCTGTATGCTTACTTTCAGAGGCCAAATTTATTTTCTGAGATGAGTTACAGAATGTAATTCTTTTAATAATCAGACTAACAGTTGTTATAAGTTGGATTATGGAATAAGCAAAACAAACCTTCTGCAAATGAGTATTTCTTTAAGAAAAATTATTACATTTCATTTTGGTAACTAATTTTATCTTCATACATATTTACAAGCATGTATATATATGTATAAGCATTTAGGATACTTTAAAAATTCCAAACTGATAACTTACATTGCAAATTAGCATTACAGTCCATATAATCAGCATTGCTTGATGGTACTCATAATACAAATCCTAAAAAAAAAAAAAAAAAAAAAAAAAAAAAAAAAAAAGGGATGTATCAGAAAGCAATAAAATTAAAAAAAAAATTTTTAATTCTCAGAATTTTTAATATGAGGTACCCTTAATTATATTTTTGTTAATTCAATAATTGAAACTTACGTTTGCTATAGACCTGAAAATTATAGAAAAGAAACTCCAAGATGTAAAAACTGTAGCAGCTATCAACCATGGCTTGAACCTCTGCTCTATTTCCTAAAAAAAAAAAGATTTTTCTTACATCAAAATAAAAATTACAATTACTCTCGTAGAAGAATTCATAATCACCTATACCTGCAGTTGTTCAACAAGGAAAATATGAAAAAAAGTTATGTATGAAAAATATACTTGATTTGAATAATGATTCAATTAAATGTTTTCTAAATTTAAAAAAAAAAAAAATTAAAATTGAAATTTCTGGAAAGCAAGCTTGAAAATACCTTTTAATTACTACAGAAATTATGCCAAATTCTTAAATAACTCAATATAATACAAACTATTATCTTACTATTACTCAAAGGTGAGGGGTCAGAACTAAATATTACACATCCTAAAAGTGATCTTAAATATATATATAAAAAATAAATAGAAACAAGTACATACATATCATAATAAAAATTAGTTACATCATGTAATTAAAATTGACTTAAAAACATAATTTTTTATGAATTTATGTCAACAAATTATGCAAGAAAAAATGAACAGTCAAACACACAAAGTACAATGCACACACACACACACATATATATAGATATAGTATAATTTATTTACTAAATAATATTGATGAATTGATTATATTATCTCCTAAGTTTAATTATAGTAGGATTATCTTAAAAGAGTGAATCCATACTAGTAAGTTATATTTTGAAAGATGTTTTGAATATATATGTATATATAAAATAATATATTTATATACAAATCAGCTTTATAATTTAACTTAGCAATATGTAGAAGTAGATGACTTTATAATTTAATTCAGCAATAGCCTCTAATTCTTCATTTTAAAATTGGATATTTCCTCTCTTTTCTAAAAGCAGTAATAAACTTTTCTGGATTGCCCCAATTCTAATTTTAATAATTTCTAGATTAATCTACATCACATAGCTTGCATAATGCTGATGATGTAACTAATTTGGAACTTGAACTCAAATTTTTGAGAATCAAAACCTTTCTAACCTAAATCAAAACATTCTCTTGGTGAGCTTCCATAACGGAAAATTGCACACGTTTTTTTTTTCTACATCTGTTCCGCTTGGATGCCATTTTATTCTGCTATCACAACAGTACCAAAAATTTAAATATTCTATAAATAGCCACGATTAGAGCGCCAAGTGAATTGTGACCACAAATGTCAATTGTAATAAAAATGAATATTTAATCTTACATGGCTGCTAAATTTCCTAGTCATTACGGATTCAACAGTAAAGATTTTAATTTAGGAAGACAATGGGTGGCAGAATTTAGAGCATCAAAGGTTTCACCAAGTTGCAAAAGGCCTAGTGCTGGCCCTGGACCAAAGAATAGTCAGCTTTCATTGTTTTATTGTTCTATTAATTTACTTCCAGTTCAGTATGGACTTCCAAGTTTATGCTCTATGTTGTATTTTGCTTTATGCTTTTCTCATGTCAGTAGCCCACAACATTTAATAGATTTATAGTCCATTTAATTTTTGTCTAAATTAATTAATTTTACAGCATTCTGTGCAATATTAACTGTATTTAACTAAATATTTTCAATTCCTGATTTCTCTTCATATATATATACATATTATATATTTGCTTGTTTTATATACTACATTAAAAAAAATTTGTGAATTTTAAGCTGTTAATTTTTATTTTTTTATTTGTTAATTTATTTTTTCATATATTTTCCAAAAATTTCTGATCATGGACAGCTTTGAAATTTACATAGAACAACATTCCTTTAATTTATTTTGAGATTGCATTCTTCATAAGATGTTTTGGAGTTTAGGGAATTACCATTTTGTTTCAAAGCATGTAATTTGACATTAATGTTTATTTTAATGTGCTTTCAGGCTATAACTACAAAATATCCAAAACAGCAGTATAGATAGCAACATTAAAATTAAGATTCATTACAAATACTAAGGATATTCGCTTATGAACTGCATGCATACTATTGACACATACGTGTAGCTTGTGAAAATACTCAAGTGCCTTTTTTATGTTATCATTAAAAAGGCAGATAAAAGCTTTACAAGCTTTAATCATATACTGACTGAGAATTCATGACATGAAAATCACTGTTGAAGCTAGGCTGGTTTTCATCCGAAAAAGCCAGCTTTTAGATTGAAGGTCCGAATAAACTATAAACTTAAGACACAATAACCAAAGAATGTTTGTTGTTTGAATTCTGAATTAGTAAACTATAAACTTGTTTGATTTTCGTAGAAAGTGTGGATTTATGATGAAATAAAAATAAATTTACAAGCATATTTTTAAGTATTTTATTTTAACAGATAATAAATGTTAATTCCAACCCCACCCAAATATATCCCAAGGTTAGAAGTGACAAAAAAATATAATTTTGAATTTCTAGCCTACACATGACAGTTTCAGTTAAAAATTTTAAACTGTAACTATTCCTGGTACATAAATAAGTTTCGAACATGTATATATATATATTTTATGTAAAATATTATGTAAAATATATAAATTAAATAATTTAAGAGGTAAAATTTGTAATTTTTGGCTTGCTATTCTTTAAATTTTTGTTTAACTTGCACAATTACAGTTTTTTACCACAGGCTTTTATTATAAAGCAAAAGCAGACAAAGTAGCTTTATTAATTTTAAAATTAATTAACTAATTAAATATTTTTTTTACTGTTTTATAAGATAAAATATAGTATGGTTTTTAAAATGTGTTTTTTAAATTAGTTCCCAAAATTTCATTTATAAAATAATGTTTAAACTATATAATATGCTGTGAAACTGAAAAATATTTAAACTAGATTGACTTTGTTACTATAAATTGACTATATTTTTAATGAACTTTGCCCAATAAAGGTACTAGTAAGAAATTTGGAAGTTAAATTAGAAGAAGTAGTAGTGGGAAGTAAGAAAAAAATTATTCACAGTAATGAGCATTTTATTAAAAAAGATAATTTTTCAAACATTCAGATAGTAACTGAATTTTTATTTAAGATTTCAACTTTTAGTGCATACTATGTTGAATGGCATTTTTCTTCAATGGATAACTTACGCTGGAATAAAAGAAATAGATTAACTCCAAAAAAATTAAAAGCTAAATACTAAATTGCAGTAACATAAAAATTGAATATAAATTTTTGAAGAAATAATTGAAAATAAAAAAGTTGTAAATTCAGCTAGGAACAATCAAAAATACATTATTAAACTGGCAATTAAAAATAATGTGACATTTATTTTGATATAATTTTTCTTAATTATCTTCAAATAGTTTATTAATATTCATATGTACTCATGTTAGTTTTTAAATTCATGAATTATTAATAATTAATTAATTATATTATTTAATATTATACAACATTAAATTATTTAGTATTATGTATTGCACTTTTGGTGAAGAAGAATGTCTGTTTAAGAATAAAGAAGAATGTCTGTTTGTGTGTTTGTTCGCAATTAACTCGATCATTACTATAGCTATCATCAAACTTTCTACAATTATTTTCTGGGTGCTGGGAAAGGTCGATGTCTACTACCCCCCCCCCAAAAAATAGCTAAAAATCAGAGGTAATAACTAAAAACTCTGAAATCGCTAATTTTCGCCCTCATTTTTCCAAGTAGCAACAGTCTCTCATGCTGGAGATAAAAATCTACTTTATTTCGAGAAATGTTGCCATTGCTTGCTTTCAAATTGTAGAGTTTGTTAATAAAAATTTTCTAAGTTTTACAATGAAATAAAAATAGCATTACCAAATATTAAATACATTATTCCCAGTTCCAAAAATTCGTGGGAAGCTATTTTGGCTATTCCAGTCTTCATATGACTTTCATCAGCCGAGATATTAATTAAAAATTCTGAAAACACTAATTTTTGCCCTCATTTTTCTGAGCAGCAACAGTCTTGCACATTTGGATATAAAAATGCTTTATTTCGAAAAGTGTTGCTACTCCTCAGCTTCAAATTGTAGAGTTTGTTAATAAAAAAGTTGTAAATTTTACAAAATCTATATATATGAAGAAGAATATCTGTTTGTGTGCGTGTTTGTTTGTTTCCGTTATTGATTTCTGATAAATTTTTTGTGCCACATTAAATCAACTAAAATTGAATATAGGTGAAATACTGGATGGAACTTGAGCTTTTACGACCATTTGATTAGAAAGACGAAAATCATTAAAAACTGCATGGTATTGTTGGTGATATAATGAGAGAGAATCAGTTTATTTTTCTATCGGCACTTTTTATGTCGGTGTCATATCTCATCAGACTAAAAAATGTATGACTATGAATCATATTTTTTGTATCGTTATTAGAGAAGGATTACAGCAGTATCGTTCTCTCTGATGTTACATACATTACTCTCAATCTAACTTAACTGGTATCGGGTACTTCCGCTATTTATATTATAAATGTTAGGATGTATTACTATTCTTAATTTTAAGTATTATTCATACAATTAATATTGATATTGGACTGCTACTAATTACTTCATGATATGTCACATGATTATTTTATTATTTAATAACATACCATGTTATATGTTTACTTTCTAATAAAAAAAATACATTCTCACTATAAATAAAGCAAAAATTCTGAAAAAGGTGATGACACTAATAAACCCAAAGTAAAATTCAATGTTCATGATACATAAAGTTATATTTAAATAACTTAACTTTATTTAAATAACTTAACCCTGATGTCTGTGTGACATCAGGGATTAAAAAAAATTTGAGTCAGCGAGGATTACAGAAAAATTATGGTTAAAATTTTAGAGTAATCAAACCAGTACTGATTACAGAAGTTTTAGCACACATAATCTGCAATCATATAACTGTGGTATGTTTGTAAAATTAATGCAATGTCATTATGATAACAAGCTCTATAGCTTGATTATGATGAGTTATTAAATTAGATGTTTTTGTCAAAATGTTTTTTGTTGCCTTTTAATGAAATTGCATGTTTAAGTTAAAAACTTGATCAAAAGTTATACCATGATAATCATTCTACATGCTAAGCCTTTAATAAAATTTACAGATCACAGAGAAACATAAATATAATCTTAAAATCAAAGAGAGTAAAAATTTAAAACTACAAACTCCGTATAAAACTGACATTTAGTTCAGACATGAATTACCTTTCGAAGAGCTCTCATCAGTATCACAGACACCACGAGCATATATACTGCCAATGCAAATGAAATAATTGAGCATAATATTAAGGAATTTCTCACTAAAGAAAAAAACAAGGAATAAATGCATTAACTATGAATAATTATATAATATTTGTTTATATAAAATTCTCTAAATAAAACAATATTTAAATATATAAAACTAACAAAATTCAGAAAACATATTATTTTGTTAAACTGAACTAACCCAAACATATTTCAAAATTAACATTTTTAACCTTTTGCAATATGCATTCCTGTTAAGTACAAGGCAATACTTTTTGATAATAGTTTAACTTCAATTTTAAATCACAGATTGTATCAACAACTACAACTATTCGTTCAAAACTTCCTCATAATATAACAGAAAAATCAGCATTTTGATCTATTTAATTAGTTTTAACTGGCGTAAAATTATGATTATCTACTAGGATGTACTTATACTACATACAAACAGATACTTATGCTTCTTTCTTCATGTTGTTCTGTTTTATTAAAACTCTTAACTTTTATGATGTTTAACAGAATGAAAGACTTGAATTTTCTACAACATCTATCAATAAAATCATATCAATAAAAATATAAAGTTGAATTATACTAGAGTTAACTTTAATTGTGATGATAATGAAGATATCTGCTAAACAAAATCATTGCAACATATTCAAAAATGGCAAAAAGGGCAATTACCAGGATTTAAACTAAGTGCAACGAGCATTTTTGAACATAATAAAGCCTTTGTTTAAAAATTATTGGTTTTTAAGACAGCCAAAGTAGTGAAATACATTAATATTCACATCTAATATACACATTTGAATAGTAACATATTTTATACATATATATTTATACTGAAAGGGATTTTCTGTTCTTTTCATAGGGGGAACACATTTTATAGTTTATTAATATAGAAAATAGGTAAGATTAATAAAATAATTAGCTACATAAATAATCAATAAAACTAAATAAAAATACCCCACATAAAATAGTCATAAACAACAATCAGAATCATAACAATCATAAACAATAAATAACATCTATGTCCAATTGCATAAGATTCTACAAGAGTTGAAAAAAAATTCATTATTTGTATGGCAGAAATAAAGGCATATCATGGAAGGTAAATCTAATAAAACCTATTGAAAATGAAATAAAGCCTTTCTTTTTCTTAAATCAGATAAATAATTTTTATATGATACTACTATTAAATTTTCCAATAATGATATCTTCAAATTCCTGTTTTACTATTCAATTGCTTTGTCATATCTAATACACTATAGTAAATATTTCACCCTTTCAGGATTAGGATTATTTAGAATATGGCAAAGAACTTCAAATGTTATCCGTCTAAGGAAAGCAACGTTTTAGTGGAAGACTTTTAAGAACTACATTATCCAGTACAGATTACATTATCCAGTAGAGATCATTAGGTACTTTCTGGAAACCATAAACATGAAGAATTAGCTATGCTATGGCCAGGATTCGAACTCCAGACCTGACGACTGCTAGCTGGAAATGCTTTCCAGTTACTTCATGAAGGCATGCAATAAAATGGGGAAAAATATCTATGGGAAAAGCCATGAAAACTCTAAAGAAACCAACTCATTTGGTGGAATTAAAAACCTGATCGAATTACCAGCATTTTTTCCCCCTCCCCTTCCTGCTAGGCAGCTGCTAGACTTTCTGCCTTTCAATTAAATTTCAGTTTACTTTCTTTCATACTATCATTCTAACCTGATAATGCAGTTTTATGTTAAAAAATATTTAATTTTATGAAGTATTATTGATAAAATAACAATAAAATAAGAACATTTGAATACATTATTAATTTTTAATTAGTATTATATTATTGACAAAATAAAAATATGATCAGAACAAGTCTAGCATTTCAATGCATTATTAATATTTAATCAGAATACAGAGTTTAACGAATAAAAAATGTCCAAATTATTGTTAATAACCTTTATAAGATGCACATAAAAATATATATCAAGCAGAATGCTTACCATGTTTATTCCCACTATACACAAACATAAAGTTGATTCCAAAATATCTATAATGTGTCGAGCCAGGACTGGCTTCAATGAGAACGTAAAGGTCAAACACAGATAGAATCTGAGTTATAATACTTTGAACCTATTAAAAAAAGGAAACATTAAATTAAAAAATTACAAGAGAATTATTCCAAAAATAAGCATTATATTGCAAATGAAAATTCTGGATATAGAAGTATATATTGGTATAAAACAGATTTTCAGGCACATCTGATATTATTATTTTTGATAAATATCATCTTACAACAAATAATATAAAAGTGTCCACATTATCCCCCCCAATTATTATTATTATTATTATTTAAATGAAAGGACTATTCACTATTCCAGTTCACTCTTTTTTGCTAAAAAGTGTGAACTGGATACAGTATTTATCAAGTGAGCATTACCTAAGCTAAGTTAACTGGGGGGGGGGGACCGTGCTATAAAACACATCTATAATAATAGCAGTTTGACTGAGGGCTGTATATGATGAAGAATTAATTACAAAAAAAATCAGGTTAAGTATAAACAGATCATCATTATGCAATGTACCCGGCTTACTGGATAATTATCTAGCACATTCTAATGAACCTGGTATGTTTTTATCTTTTTGTAATGATCTCGCACGTCTTTAGACTAACTATAGAATGTGCAATTCTTAGCTCAAATAATTTGATTTCATCCAGTCTCACTGTAATAAACCTTATTTCGTACCTGTGTATTGAAAACAACGGCACGGGTGAGTCATCAAGACGTGCATAGTGACAGACAGCAGTAACAGTGTGCCTCTTCTTTCAACACTTTTCAGTAGCAACTGAATTGGCTCAATGTGTGTGCATTTTCCTACTGTAGAATGTTCTGCTTAACAACATGGCACTATTTCATTTTGTTGCATATCATCATTAAGATACAACAAATTCTTAACTTTTTTACTTTTTTTTAAAGCACATATGGTATGGAGGAGAGTACACAGAGCAGTAATAATAGAAGTGATCGTCAAGATGAACTTAACATGAAAGTAAACTTCTTTTACCCAATGGTAAGCCCTAAGCTGACTTCGGCTTGGCCACTACTAAGGCCAGAATTGGTGGTCACTTTATCATTCAGGCACATAATAGGTGGGCCACCTTCACCTCCAATGAACGGATGGACAATTACAGCCATGCGTTCTCCGGGATTTGTAACCGGGCCCTTTGGTATCACAGTCGGCTCCCTTAACCACTGTACTGTTTGGGCAGCACATGAAGGTAAACTTTAATGAAAAAACAGAACGAATATGCTAATAAAAGTGATGATATGATTAAGATGTCATGTAATTGTAGAAATCATCCATGACAATTTTTATTCAAATAATTCAAAAAAAAAAAAAAAAAAAAAAAAAAAAAGAGCCCAATAAGCAATATACATTAAATATAAAATATCACTGCTCAAAACAAAGTATATTGCAGTTTTAGGTGGATCTTGTGGCTGGGAAACTTTTTAGCTGATTGATACATGGTCGACAGACGTAGAAAGTTATATGAGAATAAATTACACATGTTTGGCAGAAAAAAAAAAAATCCTTTTATTGCGCAATTGTTGTACAAAAGGAAAAAAAAAAAAAAACACAATTTGTGCATATGAGAAAAAAGAAATAAGAAAAGGTGTTTTCTTCAAAGGAAATCATTTTCAGTAGGGGGTATGGTTTCCACGGACGGCCAGCAACGTTGAACACCTTTGAGGCATGGAGTCAATGAGGCTATTAATCACGAGTTGGGGTATTCTGTCCCACTCTTCCAGAAGAGCTCTTTCCAGTTCTTGAAGAGTTTGTGGGGGTGGTTTGCGGCCAGACTCGTCTTCCTAGAGCATCCCAAACGTGCTCTATTGGATTCATGTCTGGAGAACACGCTTGCCATTCCATTCGTATGATTCCTTCCTCGAAAAGGAAATCCTCCACTAGGTTTGCACGATGTGGCCTGCAGTTATCGTCCATTAAAATGAAGTCATCTCTGATTGCTGCAGCGTAAGGGACTACAATAGCTCTGAGGATCTCATCCCTATATCAGCGACCAGTCAGAGGTCCATCTTGAATGATGTAGAGGTCTGTGCGCCCGTCGATGGAGATGGAACCATACACCAACACTCCCCCATCGCCAAATCTGACACTTTCGTGCACGAACGCAGGATTATTCCTACTGCCACGGTCCCTCCAGATGAAAATACGCATATTATCAGGATGAACAGAAAAACGGGACTCGTCAGAAAAAAGAACATTGCTCCATTCATTTCTCCTCCAGTTCACATGCTCTGTTGTCCACTCCTGCGGTCGCGATGATGCCTTGATGTTAGTCTAACACATACCATCGGTCAGCGAGCATACAGACCTACACCATGGAGCCGGTTTCGGACAGTCTGAGTTGAAACCGTTGTGCCAGTAGTAGCCAAGCGAATGTGTTGTTGGAGAAGAGTAGCATTCATATTTCGGTGTCTCTGAGCCGTTAACACTAAATAACGATCTTCATTGGGCGTTGTTGCCCGTCTACGACCTTGCCCTGGTCTTCGGCCTGCACTTCCAGTTTCCAAAAAACGGTTCCAGATCCTGGAAATCACACTTTGTGACACTCCAATGGCTTGCGCTACTTTGGTTTGAGTTTGGCCCCCTTCTAACCTACCAACAACACTCCAAGCTTCTGAATCAGTTAAATGACTTCGCTGAGACATCATCGAAACAAAGCAGTCACTGAATGCCAATCATCTTTGTCTTCATTGTCTTTTATTTAGTTGAAAGTCAAATTTCATTTGCTGCCACTGAAGCGACGTTTTTGACGTCGAACTCAAAATTAGCATTTTCGGCAAAAAAAATTTCGCTTATATTTTTATTTTATATAAAACTTACAATATCCTTTAATTGTTTTGAGCAGTTTAGTTAATGAAATATAATGATCAGGCAATAAACTTCATCTTTAGTGAAGATCTGGAAAGGTTTACAGAGAGTAGCAGAGAAAGAGAAATCATAAAGCATGGAGAAGAAAATCAAGATGCTAACCTCGAAAATGTGGTGAGTTCTATTAAATCAGCTGTGTTCATTGCTAGCTACAGATTACTGATACTGGAACTGTATGCAAAGTCTAAAAGTCAAACTAATTTGGTTTACTGTTAGTGTACTATTACCTAATTACTTTTTTAACCATGTGTTTATATGTAAAAAGATGAATTAACAAATAAAATTATTAAATAATTACTGCTTAATAATAACAATCTCTTAAACAAAGATGATTATTGTGCAGCTTTTAAGTTACCTCTTTCTTGATTAATTAAATGATTCAAAGAATATCTAATTCAAAAGTTCCCTCGGTAAACAACTGAAAGAATTCTCTCTTTTTATTTTTTAATAAGTCTCGATGAAACCAGGCTCTTTGAGCGAACAACTGACATTCTCTAGTCAGCCTAAAGCTATATGGAATCATTATAATAAGCCCAAAAATATCGAGCTCATTGGAAGTACTAAGTAACTTTCTAATTCGTTGGGCACATTGCAAAAGACTGCAAGAAGTCGAAGTTTTTAGTTAGTTTACAACACGTGCATCGTATCACAAAACTATGGAGTTCGAGGTACAGAGCTTGTTTACAAAGGGTCTAAGCGCAGCGATTTTTTCAAAATGATTTTCGCTCAAACTGATCATTACAGATCGTTGCATAATGATGTCCAGCATCTTTAGGCAAGTTGACCATTCTTTGCCAAGACAGAAACTTTCATAAAGTTTTTAATACCCAGTTTAAACGTGGCCTCATCTTTAAAATGATCGTTTTTGTTACTCTGATCACTAGTCCAAACAAAAATCCTACTCTCATCGCGGTGCCACAGCATAAAGGATCAGTATTTTTATGATCTCCAAGTTAAAAAATAATCTCCATAAAGTTGCAATCACTTATATTCCGGAGCATTCATGTGAAGGTTTCTGTCTTGGCAAACACTGTGTGACTTGCGTCAAGGTGCTGGCACTTCTAAAACATCCCAACAATCCACAACATTAATTTTGCACCACAGGTAAACTGAAAAATAAGCTTTCATATTAAATTTATTCCGAATCTTGAACGCAATTTACCAAGCATGATCATAAAATATAATATTATATTCTCGTATTTTAAAAAATATGGTGTTGCGAAGAGCCCAGCTGCGGTAAGATAGCTTCCCCGCAAAGCGGGTTTTAGAGTTGCCGCTAGCATTTCGCAACAATGTTCTCATCTCATTAAATTGTTAACATAAGAATGGATTAAATATTATTCCGAACTAAACAAAAATGGAGTCCTATTCTGGCAAATTAATGTGGCTAACTCGCAGTAAATAGAGAACAAAATGTCATCTGAGAAAAGAAAAACAAATGAAAATGCGGGGGGAAAAAGGTGGAGATTTACGCAACACATCACTTTTATCCTTTTATTCGAAACCATAAAATTACCCCAAAATGATGCATTTACAATAATTCTCCCTATGACGTGTACCATTATATTCCCAAAGAAATAATCCTAGACCGCTAAAACTTACTTCCCTACACGTAGGAAACGTTCAAGGTTAATCTGTTTTCACAAGATACAAATGTTTAGATTCGCAACATCGTATATCGACCTGAAGCTTGATACACTATAGTTATATCAAAATTAGCTATTATTTATAGCTACAAATTCTTCTCTTCAAATACTAAAATTTCCCCTATTCAATATACGTTTCTTCTGTTCTTAAACGCCAATATTATATGAAATGATTATAGGGTTTGGACCACTATTTGGGCCAACCCACCTTTCTCTGCCTGGGCGTTCATAACAATTTTTTTTTAAACTTGCAGACAAAATTTTAAATGATTTTAGAACCAAATTATGGTTAATGGGCAGTTAAATGGTGAAAAATCGCTCTCTTTCTTAAACACACACACACACACACACACACACAAAAAAAAAAAAAAAAAAAAAAAAAAAAAGTGCAACAACTGTAAATTTCAGTTTAATTTGGAATGCTGTTGTTCTTTTAAAACATCAATTATTAGTTGCATCAGGCCTTAAAGTCACATGCTCAGTTTATTTAAATAAGCAATCAATATCGCTAAAAATCGCCCATCCAGTTCT